AGTTTTGTTTTTTTTTGCCAATGTTTATTTATTTTATTTGGTTGCGTGTGCAAGTGTTGCAAATGCACGACGAAAGTGACATAAAAAGAAAAAAGAAAAGAAACAAAACAAAAAACAATTAAAATAAATAAAATTAAAATCTGATATAAATACAAAAATCAACACACACATGTACACATACGTCTAATATAAATATATATAATAAAAATTCTTGGCAAAATTTCAAACAAAAATCAGCGAAAATAACTGTAAAAGCACATAGAAGCGGATATAAATATTTATTACAAATCTCGGCACACATACATATATACATACGAACATTTGAATCTATTTCTGGCATCCACCAGGCGTGACCGTAAACATGTCTAATGTGTTGTGCAGCGCAAACGATAAATAAAGTTAATAAAAAAAAAAAAATTATCAGAAAAAGTGTGCGTTCTAAGTGTCGCAATTGTGGGCGGGGCCGTCAACTATCGGTCAGCTGTGAATTTGCGACATTCCTCGCTGAAAATGCCTATAACCGGCAATCGGCCGACAGCAGCAATGACGCCAATGCCAGCGAAAGGACAAAACCATACATATTTACAAACACGCATACATATATGTATGCGTTTACAAATATATATCCACAGTTATATGTATAGCCAATTTTGTTCCGATATTTTTAATGATGATTTATTTTGGAAGGCTGTGACAACCTAATAATTTTAATTAGAAAATTGTGTTGTTTTAATAAAACAAAGCATATTTTCTTTAAACTGATCTACTGATTTTTGTTGTTGTTATGATGGGCATTTATTAATACATAAAAACAAGAGAAAGAGAAGGCTATTTAGAAGTATAAATAGATTTAAAATTTTAAATTTTATAAAGTATAAATTATTAAAGATTGGTGAATCCATATTTTAAACAAAAACTAAGTAATTTCTTATATGTATATTCTATACAAAATTTTATTTTTAGAAATTGAATATAAAAAAATTAGAAACTTTTATAAAAATTTTTATATTTTTTATAAAATATTTTATATAATGTTCTAATTTTTCTTTTATGAGTTTCCGGTTTTATAACTTTGAATATTCTTTTCTTAGTTTTTGGTCAGTATAATTAAGAACATTTTTTTATTAAATATTTCTATTATATTTAACATACGCCTTTTTAATTTTTTTGATTCAAAGCACTTAATTTATTGCGCTCCCCATTCAATTAACGATCACAATTAATTGCTATGATGGCTGGTTTTATAGGCAGACATGTGTTTGTACGCTAGTAGATATGTAAATAGCGCCGTAATAGCCTGGAAACCATTAAAATGACAAAAATATGTAAAAGAGAAAATTATGATAAGGCATAGTAAAAATAAAATATTATTAGAATGAAAAAAAAAACTAAAACTAAACTAATATTTAATAATTAAAATTACTT